GGTTTTATCCTGACTTTCACTCAAAAACAAAACATACGAATATGGCTATTGCTTACCCTGACAATTGTTGCAGAGCCCCAAGGTTCTATATTGGAACCCTTGGGGTGAGAAAACTACTTGATCCACAATTCCATCTTTTTAAATATTTCCTAATTTAAATATTATTAGAATTATTTATTGACTGTAGCATCATTGATTAGTCAAATTGACCCAACTAAAAACTTTTACTTTTAACAAATATGTTTTGGTCATAAAAGTAGTTCACATTTTCTGCTCTTAATTTGTTTCTGAAATTAAGCTCTGAAATTGGCGGCAATAAATAACCGAAAAGATTTATTTTCATCTTATCTGTGCGCAACTCTGACAAATGACGTAAGCTAAGAAAAAAGTTCAGAGCATTGCGGACTACTTCAACTGACTTTAACCGTTTTTTGTTTTTTTTTGGCTGTTGTGAAACTAAGTTTAACTATCATAAATAAAATTTAGAGTTTGACTTAGTGTAACTTTATACCAAACAGAAACAGAAACAAAAACAAAAACAAAACATATTAAATATAATAAAAATTAAAAGTATCTAAACACGACCCCGCAGCACCACCAACTGTGGAGTGCATATATTTTTGGTAAATATTTTACTGATTTAAATCGGTGTTAAAAATGCAAGCAACAAAATTCTTTATGATTTTATCAATTAAAATTGCTGGTAAATCCATTTTCTGTATTAAAACCAAAGTGGTTATTATGAAAAGTGCACATGAAAACAATTACAAAAGTTAAAATAAATCAAACTTCACGCAGGCAGCGCAATTTATTAATTAAAATAAATCAAACCCGGGCAGTCATAAAGTACAGCGGAAAATATCTCAATCTGCATCTCGATACGGGGTCTGCCTCCAATACGCGCGTATCTATAAACTTGTTAATAATTTGCAAAATGCCAAAATAGTTGCTTTAAAGATTGCTTATAGTAAACATTATCAGAAGAGCATATTAGTCAGGCTTTGTGGTTCCTAACTTTTTGTTGGCAGTGTAAATGTGCTCCAGTGGTATGGCCGGCCAGTCCAGTGTGCAACATTTCAACTGCAACTGCAACTGACAACTGTTAAATTGTTATGAGGCGCAGGCGTACACTGAATGGAGTAACTTTTTAAAAGTAAATCCAACCAATTTTTCCATCAAAACCACAATTTTTCTATGTGCGTTGAACTTAGTTTTTATGCGATTTTTTGGACACAAATAATTAAAAATGCGATTTGCATAATTATCTACTTGACTACTTGTTAATTTGTATATTATTTTTTATAATAAATAATATTATTTATGTGTTTTACGTAGGCTTGTCTCTTCACCACTTCTCGAAAATAACATTCGACTTAAGTAGCGCTTAACGTAATAAATTAAATAAATTATTTTAGTTAATATTAACATAAGAATTTGTTGGCTTTGATGTGCACTTTTTGACATCTTTAAGATTTCCAAATCGTACATTTCAATTTAATAATTTTTAATAATAAATAAGCGTATGACATTGCATTGCATTTGAGGTGCAATCAAAATTTATGATAGTTCAGATTTTTGTATCCCATGCAATGAATACTTCATTTAGCATTCAGAAAGTATCTTAAGCTTTAAAGATATCCACACATCAAAGTGTCAGCAGTACTCGATATGTAAATTTATTAATGCAGTTTAATATTGGCAAATGCGTTGAATTCGGACAGTTGCCTTGCCCACGAAACTGAAACCCGTCTGAGTTTCAAATATCTTAGCGCTGGCATCTTATGAGAAATAGAAGTCTTACTTAATAAATTATAAATTTTTATTGAGAAAAACTGTTTAGATTGCGTTTAAATTAATTGAATAAAATTGAGTAATGAATTTATTTAAAAGACTGGCTTACAGCGACTAACGCAGCTAAGGAATTTGTCCATTTTTTTCAACGATATTATGTATTTTATTTTTTTGATTATTCAAAAAAGAAAAAACAAATTTTAATAAAAATGTTAAACTTTCTTCAGAAAATCTGTCAATCCAATCTGAAAAAAGGTGAAGCTTAATCATAAACTTAAATAACATAAACTATATATGTTGAATATATTATTATTATTATTATTTAAAATAGGCTATAATAGACTCGAGATAATCGAGTCTACGTGTTGCCGCCGCTGGGCAGTTGCATAGAACATGTTCTGATGTTTCCTTCTCCTTCTCTGACAGAGTCGACAGGAATCACTTTCTACCGCACCTATAATCTTCATGTAGTAATTAAGTCTACAATGTCCTGTAAGAAGTTCAGTGTAGATTTTGATATCGTTTCTGCTAAGGTTGATGATAGAATCAACTTTGATGTGTTCAGGATCAATAAACTACTGGAAAGGTGAAAATGCTATTAAAGTCAGAAAAAAATTACCCGATGTATATGAAAAAGATGTATTAACAGAACGCTACTGCCAAAACTGGTTTGCAAAACCTCGATCCGTAAATTTTATGGTTGAAGTTGCACAACGTTCTAGATGATCAAATGAAGCTAGTGAAGATGTAATGATGTTGATAATTGATGTAAATTGGCGGATAACAACTCTTAGGATCAGTGACAGATTAAATTGATCGAATTCGATTATTCTTGATCTTAAGAAACGAATAGGCTTAACCTCAAAGCTCCATATACGGGTTTTTCATGTTCTTAAGGGGTGGAAATTTTATCGTTTGTAGTTTATTTCTGTAACGTCGAGAAAATAATCTATTTTTAAAAGTTTTCATTACTGGGAATAAGAAATGTTTAACTTAAAGAATCAAAGAGTAAAAAAGATGTCCTGGCGCAAAGTGTTTCGAAAATCAATATTCATCAAAAATAGTGTTGCTATCTCTTTGGTGAAATTTGAAAGGAACTTTTTTTATTGTTAGCTTCAACCGGACAACACAACGATCTATTTTTATGTGAAATACTAAATTTATCAGCAGAACAAATTGAAT